TTCTGTGATGATATTTCAAACTTTTCTATTCTTAATTTGGTAATAAGAGGCTATTTTACTCTAATTATTTTGTGCTTAAAGTATTGTGCTAATGTTTTTCATGCTCATTTGACTTGGTTGCATAGCATGTATATTCACTAATACTTTGGGCAAAAAGATCTTGAGGTCTAAAAGCTCCTATTTCTTACCCACGTTTCTCTGGGTGTTAGGCTTCTGTCAAAGTAAATGATACTGTTTAGTCAGAATGTTTTTTAAACTTTATATTTTATCATTATAAGGTTTTCTGATTCCCTTTTTTGTTTCCTTTCCCAGATAACCTTGGAGAAGATTGCCCTGTTTTTGAAAATTTATTTGAATTTTGTCAAATTTATGCTGGTGGAACAATAGGTAACTTTAATTGTCACAATAATATTCTGTTAAACTTTGCTAGTGTTTGTTTAGCCTTTATCACTGACTGACATTTGCTGGTAGATGCTGCCTGCAGATTAAACAACCAACTATGTGACATTGCTATAAACTGGGCTGGTGGATTACATCATGCCAAGAAGTGTGAGGCATCTGGATTTTGTTATATTAATGACTTGGTCTTGGGGATTTTGGAGCTCTTGAAGTATCACACCCGAGTTTTGTACATCGATATAGATGTACATCATGGTGATGGGGTTGAAGAGGCTTTTTATTTCACTGACAGGTAGTGCAACCTTCTCATAATATTAAGGACTTAACTGGGAACACTCTTAGGTTATAACTATTGTTTCTGGTTGACCGGCATTGAATAAAATGGATGGGCTTTCTTGAGCTCTGTCTGAAGCTTTCAAATGTGTCTCCAATGAGTCTTTAGTTTTGTTGGTATTATGACCATTTTGGGAATGGAAAAGATCTTTTTGCTAGCTATGTGTACAGACAAGGTACACAGGGGCCAAGGAAACATAGCTTTGTTTGATTGACTTTTAGATTTTACTTCTATTTATTTTTTTGAGAAAAAAGTACATATAGTCACTAGCACCAAGGAGTGCAACCTGTATCTAGTATTTACAAGTCAATCAAAATATTAAAATTTCTAAAATCCTTGCTAGAATGCAACAGAAGATCACTTAACAAAAAACTCAAGAGTATGGAACCAAGTATCCTTAAATTTTTCAAAGTTAGATTCAATATCCCCGAAAGCCCTTCTATTCTTCTATTTCAAAATCACCCAAAAAGTAGCTAGCAGAGTGAGTCTAAGTCTCTTATCCTCATGAATTCCACTCCAAGAACATAACTCCTCATTCATAGATCCAACAATGACCCAATCCAATCCCAGAAGACCATAAGCCAAACTCCATGATCTCTAAACAGATGGACACCCATAAAAGAATATAATTACCAAACGCCATAAAATATTTTACCTTTACTTTAAGATGTCCATTAGTTTCTTATTTGTATCATTTTTTCTTTTTATCTAAGTAGGAGACCGAATTCAAAATGATCTAAATAAGATTATGATATAAAAGAAATATTATTATTTTTAATTAAAAAAATATGAAGTATCATTGACTATAAGCACCAAAGGGGTGCAAACTCATATACAAAAATATTTACAAATCAATCATGATATCTATCAAATCACCAAAATCCTCCTTACCATAACAAAAAGTTCTAGAGTTTGAAACGGTCTCACTCTAATCTCATCAATATCTTCTTCCACCCTATCAAAAGTTCTCCTATATTAGTCTTTCCATAAAACCTAAAAGATTGCCAAAGGAATGACCCTAATTGTTTTCTCAGACTAGTGATGCCCTTTCATGCCCATATTTCATCCTTTACACTACCAGTCATAACCCAACTATACCCCAAGATTCCACAAGTCATTGCCCATAGATTCTACGCTATGGGACACCTTAGTAGAACATGATCATATGACTCCTCCACTTTCTTACATGAACAACGTCAATTTACCATGATCATTCTCCTTTTCATCAACTTATTTAATGATCAGAATATGTCCACGACCTACTTCCTAAGCGAAGAAAGCAACACTAGGAGGTGCATTCACCTTCCGAATTTGCTTGAACATGAAATTGTTCTTAGCGGACTTGTCCTTGGCCGAATATCTATAAAAAGAGTCAACTGTGAATTTCCCTGTTGAGCTAAGGGACCAAACCGGTTGATAACAATTCTCATCAAGAGATACAAAGCACAGAGAATTCAAGAGTGATTCGTATTTGTTAGTTTCCCAGTCATTGAGGTTCCTCAAGACCTCCACATGCCAATCCCTCCCTCCTTTACTATCTCTATAAGCTTCTTTAGCCGATATATGCTTGAATCTTGCAATAGTAAAGATATAAGGGAACTTATCTTTCAATGTTCCCCTTTCCATCTAAATATCCTTCCAAAAACCAATTCTCTCCGCATTCATGATTCTCTATTTGATACATTCCCAAAGTTTATCTTTACCCATGTATATCTTTTTTTACAGTCCCTTTCCATGTGGCTTGGTTAAATCACTAGAGTACCTCCCTCTATTGATAATACCAGATTTTGCCTCAATAACTCTCCTCTATAAAATGCTCATTTCTTTCATAAATCTCTATATTGACTTCCCTTGAACTACTTGATTCATTTCCGTTGGAGATATCAGACCTAGTCTCTCGTGTTTTAATAGTCTTCTAATCGCCTCCCATGTCACCAAGTGGTATTTCCTTCTCTCATCTGAGTCATCCCATAGAAATCTACATTGAATTGCTTCCATCTTCTTAGCAACTTGCGAAAATTATTAAAAGGGACATGTAGTAGACTGATATATTGGATAACGTGCTCTTGATAAGTGTTAGACATTCGCCTTTAGATAGTAAGATCCTTTTCCATCTTGCAAGTCTCTACTCAAATTTTGCCATTATCGGGTCTTATGCTCTCACATCTTTGTCTTATGCTCTCACATCTTTGTAATTAGCTCCTGATGACATTCCTAGATATTTAATTGGTAATTCTACGATCTTACACCCTAAGACCTTTGCCAATCTAGAAGTATTGTTCTTATTCCCCAATCTCACCAGCTCAAACTTGGAAAGATTAATGCTAAGGCTAGACATTGCTTGGAAACATTGTAGAATGCATATGAGGTTGAGTAGTCTTGCTTGCAAAATATCAAGCTATCATCTGTAAATGTGTAACTTCCGTGGATGACTCCCCTACTCCCACCTTAAGACCACTGAACAAACCAACTTGCTTGGCTCTCAGTTTAAAGCTTCAATGATCATGCTGAACAATAACGAAAATAACAGGTCATCTTATCTGAGTACTCTTAAAGGCTTGAAAAAAGTGGATGAACCCTCATTTACCATCAGCATGAAAGAAGTGGTGGTAATGCAAGAATTGATCCACCTACGTCATTTATCGTCGAAGCCTATTATTATTATTTTTTGAAATAAAAACTATAATATGTATAATTAATTATAGTCATCAAAGGAGTGCAAACCCATGTACAAAAGAATTTATATATCAGTTAGTATATCAATTAGTTCTCCAAGATCCACTCCCCTCTCACTTGACCCAACACTTCTCTCATTTTTCTGGCTAATGTCTTCATGGTCAATTTGTAAATACATCCACTAGACTTATTGGTTGAAATTCTTTAATATTCATTGTTCCTTCTACCTTAGCAATTAAAAGAAAAAATGTGGAGTTTAGATTTCAAATATGAGCTCACCTCATGGAGTTCTTCAAAAAGTTCTACTATATCATTGTTCATTAAATACCAGAATTTCTACACAAAGCCCATGTTAACATTGTTGAGGCCAGGAGCTTTAGCCTTCGTGCATTGTATTAGTCCATAAATTTTCTCTTTAGTGAATTCTCTTTTCAAAGAGATTTAGCTTATCTCGTCCAAAGAGTTGAAATTGAGACCATCATGTTTAGGCCTCCAGTCAAAAACCTCGCAATGCAATTTGCAAAAGAAATTCTTGTTCCCTTGTCTTTAACTAATCTATCATCAATCTCCATCACCTCTGCATATTTAGATCTCCTATGTAATTGATATAAAAGAAGTATTATTAAGAGAGGAGAAAAAGTTACTGCAATAGGGAACAAATAATCCTCTTAAAACAACAATAAAAGTAGATGAAATCAAAGTAACACTGTCTTTTAATCCTTTGCCGAATATTCAAATAAATATCTCCAAAGAACTTGTGATCCTTTGCCCATAATGAAGCAAATATAACATGTGTCCCCAAAAAAAACAGATAGAAGATAATCACGATCCTCAAAGAGTTAGCATTATATCTAACAACAATCACCACCAAATCAAACAGATCTCCTCTTTGAAGCACCCAACCTTCCTTCTTAGGCTAGCTCCCTTAAGGAACATAGGATAAATATTCAAGGTGAGGGGGAACGACCCATAAAACATTAAAATATCAAAAATTCTAAACCATAGCCTCCAAGCTACATCAAAATGAGAAAAAAGATGGCGTGGGATTCAGCCTCCCTAAAGCACATGACAAACACATATGGAAAAAGAGCATGACACTGTTAGGTCTACAATCTCGTAAAAAATTACTAATTTGAGCTTAGTTAAAACAGTAGTCCAGGCAAATTCCTAACTTTTGTGGGAACTTTAACTTCCCAAAATCCCTAGTAAAAGTCTCATTATACAATTAGATTTATGGGTGATAGTTGCAAAAAGAGACTCGAAAATGTACATACTAAAAGCATCAAATCTCCAAATTTTGTGATCAGGACTAGGAGAAAGAATAAAAAGGCTTAAGGATATTAAGCAAAAAGATCATATCATGGGATTCATGGTCATTGAGATTTTTGAAGAGAAAGAAATTTCATGATGTTGTGGCTGTTGAAATGGCTACTAAATGATAGGAGCATTATGATGCAGTGAAAGGTTGCAGTGATGAGGGAAAAACTAGCTAGAGAAAGATCACCACAAAGAGAGAGAATACAATGGAATGTTAGAAAACAAGCTTGGATAAGGTTAACTCTACCATCTGAAGGGAATAATTTGCCCTTCCAACAACTAAGCTTCTTAGAAATCCTACTAACTACACAGCCTAAAAAACTCCACTTAGAGGTTCCCCCTAAAAGAATTGGTGAATATAAGTGATAGACCAATATAAGACACTGCACCCAGTCAACTAGCTAGTTTAGAAATAGCATCTGAGTGTGCTTAGGCATGATAATACTTTAATATATTAAACTTTATACTATTTAGGTTATTTTTATATTTTCCAGGTTATAGTTTGTTTTCCTATCTAATTTAGAATTACTATTTCTAATATTGTTAATATTAGTATTTCTTATCTTTACTGGGAGTAATATTTGTTATCTTATTAATTTTAGTACTTCTTAGTTTAATTCTATTCAGGAAAAAATTATTTGCCACTTTAAAAATAGATTTATGATCTCTTTTAGATCATCATCTAGTTATAGAATAATATACTTAGAGGACTTCTTAATACTTGATTGTGTAATTCAATCAAAATCTTAGGAATGTTATCTAAGAACCTCAAGTGCAATATCTAGGGCTTCTCAA